ATCATTCAATTTTAGATTACAAATACTTGATTTCTTTTTTCCTGTTTAGGTTATTTTGACCCAGCTTCCAGGTCAAGAAATCCAGTTTGAGTTGTTTGATAAGGACATTGATCAGGATGACTTCCTGGGAAGGTGAGTCCTTACATCACACAAAAAAACGTGAACATTTCTGACTAGTTTGTTTTTAAACCTGCTGACAAATGAAGGATAAAATTTTGTGCCTTTTTTTGCAGGTTCAAACTTAGCCTACGAGACATCATCAGCGCACAATACACCGATACGGTGTGTGCCATTATTAAAAAGACGTGACCAAATAATATAGCAAATATTTACATTTGTATTCTTATCATAACTTAAATTTTTTGTAACACTTTTGTTTCAGTGGTACACTCTAAATGATGTGAAGTCTGGTCGAGTTCACCTAATGCTGGAGTGGCTGCCGAGGGTCTCTGACCTCTCCAGACTGGAGCAGGTTCAGTATTTCTATTTTCCATTGTCTAATGACCTGGACGCGCCCAGCTAAATACACTTACAGTTAAATAAAATACACAAAAGATTTTGTGTCCTAAACTTAAAGCTAGTGCTGCAAAGGAAACATGAACTGCTAGTTTCCTATTTCAAGTGTCTTCCTGAAACGCTCTCTCTCTCCTGTCTTTGCCCCTCTTTTCTACAGATCCTGCAGTACCAGTCCCTGCAGTCTTTCCAAAACAAGGTGGTGCCGTCAGCCGCTCTGGTGTTCGTGTACGTGGAGCGTGCCCACGGCCTTCCGGTGAGACCATATCGATGAGTGTTTATGGTCATTTTTTTAATATTTTGCTTCCAATGAGCCAGACTTTCCAATGAGCAATAGTTCTAGAGACTTTCTGGAGGTCTTAAAAAGTCTTTCTTTGGACATTGGCGGTTTTTTTTTTTAGACTTTTTCAGCTTGCTGTGCCTGGTCATTTCAGAAGAATGCCTTTTTGTGTTTGTTTAGCCACAAACACTTGTCTATGTTTTACCTATTTCAAGGATGAAGCAGTATTTTAAATGGTAAACTGACTGGTGCTTTTATAGCTCTTTTCTACTCTGCCTGTGCACTCAAAGGGCCATATACAACTAGTCTCAGTGACACCCATTCACATGCTTTTTCAAAACCAAGTGCTTTCTCTCTAACAGTCACGCATATTCATAGAGGAAACTGGGGTTAGTATCTTGGCCAAGAATATTTGGCAAGCAGTTGGCACCAAATTACAAACTGGTAGGTGACCTGCTCTAACTCCTGAGCTACAGCCCCGCAGTTGTGTCTACACGTACTATAACAGATAACAATTTGCTTTAACAGAACCGATTTTAAATTGTATCTGTGGGAACTATTTGACTAGCAGCCCATTTATTTTACTCTAAGAAAAACGGTTATAAGATCGTTTTTTACATCAACAAGGTCATTCCCAAAGAGCTATTAGCTTCACATGGTGGCACGACATCTCCTTAAAAACATCTGAGGAAACTGGACAAGTGGAGGACAAAAGAGGAAGTGGCATGCTAAAATCATGCACAGTGTTGCTCAGCAGAGCGGTACAACAGTGAGTGTCTACAGTTGTCTTTAAACACAGTGGTGGAATTATGAATGCAGAAATGCACCAACAGAGAACAGAACAAAAGGCAGCCAACATCCAAAGAAGAGCTTTGAACGTCCTTTAAGAAGCCTGGAGAACCATTCCTGCAGTCTACTTAAAGACATGACAAGAAAGCCTAAGAGTGTTCAAGCTGTGTCACATCAAATATTGACTTTCAAGCTGGTTAGACAGAGTACAAACTGTTTCTGTCTTATATTTCCACGCTGATGCTGTTGCTTACAGTTCCTGTAGTGCCGTGTAATCATTTGTACGTTATTTCAGCTGAAGAAGAATGGAAAGGAGCCAAAAGTTGGAGCCGAGATTATCCTTAAAAATGTTTCATACAAAACCAAGGTAGGCTCTTAACTCACTAAAGATGTTCACTGAAAATAAAGGGAAAAAATGGTGTTTCACAAAAGTCACATTTATTGTTTGTTTTTTCTAAAGGTCTCTGAGCGATCCACGTCCCCTCGATGGGATGAAGGCTTTCACTTTTTGACTAGTGACCCCAGAAGTGAAATACTCACGGTCAAGGTGCGAGTCATTATCTATATTTATCTGAATCATGAGGATGCAAAGTAGATGCATTTGATTCACACCATTTGTCAAAACTAAAACATTTTACACCAATAAAAGAAGTAGAAGATGTGTGCGTTTATTTATGTCTTTGTTTCCTTGTAGCTTTCCCACAGCTGGGGCCAGGCTCTCGGCTCTTTGACACTTCCTCTGAAGGAGGTGCTGGCTGAGACAGACTTGGTTCTGGACCGCTGGCTCAATCTGGATGGAGCGCTGCCAGAGAGCCAGATACTGTTGATGGTCATACTGAAGGTACTGCAGACAGGCTGCTTATTTTCACTGTGCTGTAGTAGCTTTTCTTGGAGCAATGCTATACTAAGTGCTTACTGACTGTGTGCCATTATCTAAACTAGTCCATGATGTTTATTAAGTCATAATTATTGAGTCATGATTTTTATTCAGTGATTATTTTTAATATACCTTGCAGATCCTAGACACTCAGCTGGCAGTGTGTCGTGGGGCTGTAGGGGAGGGAGGTGTCGATGGCGTCATCCCTAAATGGGATCCTTCTCATCTGGACCTCAGACACAGACCTGGATTCTCCATGTGAGTCACACATAGGGGTATAGTAGTCCTGCTGTGTGGTGCATACCTGCACTGTAAGCGCAGTAATATACTTAAGTGACTGTCCAAATGACACCCAAATGTAAATAAACATCATTTCTCATCTGTGTCTTTAGGGTGAGTGACAACCCAAACTCAGCAGGACAGGTGAAGCTTACCATCGGTTACTCCATGGAGGAAAACCGGCTTTTCATCACTGTTCACTCCTGCAGGTTTCTATAAGCCATACGTTACCCATCCCATCATCATCATCATCATCATCATCATCATCATCATCACACTTTAAGCAGAAAAACCATCAAATGTTGTGGATGTGATCTCTTTATACTGACAGAGCATTGGTAGCGCGTTCCAAGGATGGCGCAGACCCGTATGTTTCCTTCATCCTGTTGCCTGACAAGAAGGCTACCACCAAGAGGAAAACTGCGACCAAGAAGAAAGACCTCAGCCCAGAATTTAATGAGAGGCAAGACAAACAAATAGGGCTGTGATTATAGCGACTGACCTCTCCCACATTAACCTTGCTTGTTTCTGTAGGTTTGACTTTGACTTATCAGTCGAGGAATCCTCTCAGAGAAGACTGGACCTGTCTGTGAAGAACAGTGTCTCTTTCATCAGCCGAGAGAGGGAGCTTATCGGCAAGGTATTTGTAATCGGTCACGTCTGAAATTCAGCTCGTCTTTGCCCAAGGTTGTGTAAAATACTTGGCTTTAATCTCAAGACTCTTCTTCTCTCTCTCTCGTTGCCTTCAGTTGCAGCTGGACCTGGACCAAATTGACCTCAAGACGGGTGTCACACAGTGGTAACTATTTAACCCTTTCATGCATCAATTATAAGAACCACAGTGAAGTGTTTTTATTCTTCTTTAAGCATGACAAAAAACAATCCATTGTCTTTTCTTTCTTTTTATTTTCAGGTACGACTTGGCAGCAGAGACCAACTAAAAGAATCAATGCCTGATCCTCAGGCATCTACTTTCAAACATAAGCATTGCTTCTGTGATCTGTGATTTGTGCGTGTGTATATTCAGCTTAAATGGAAATTTCCACCATCACTGAAGAAAAAAAAACGATGACATATCTGCTCCAGAAAAACACAGTCCATCAGTATTTATGAGCAAAACTTTACTTGTCGCTAAATATTCGTGAAGTGATAACTGTGCTGAATCCATTCTGTCTCAGGCAGATATTTAAGCTGAATAAATATTTGATAATAATGCAACTATGTTGCACGACAAACCAAGGTTATGTGTGTTTAAAGCATGCAAAAAGTCCTCTTGCATTTTAGCTTTAAAAGGGCTTATATATTTGTCCAATTTCCAAAGGTACGACAACATTTTATGGATTTTCAGCATCCAACAAAACGGGAAAACATTTGTTTGAATTTTATTTGTTACAGTCTCCAAACAGTTCCTGTTATGGCTTTGTTTATGTGGGTTTATATTACTGCCATAAGTATTTCAAAACTGTGCACAGTTTGTCAGTGTTTATGAAATATGTTCCAGATGAAGTTTTATATGTTTTAACCAGAACTTTCTGAATGTTAATTTTTTTTAAATCAAAGTGTTACAAGCCTTCAAGCCCAAATTTCCACTGAGAACAGAGGTACGATGCTGTACAGTCTTAATCACTGTGCTTTTACCAAGAGAAAACTTTGTAGATGTTTTGTCCAGAGCTCCTTTGTGTTTTTATGTGTTTGTAGTCCTAAATGCAAATGGCTGATGGCTTACAGTCATGTTTATGCTTTATTTTTACACGCAAAACCCTTTTTGACCTCATGAGAAGCAGATTATTGTATACCTGTTCCGGGACAACTTCCATGTCCCATCATGTCTCACCTCACTGCAGACACTTAGACACTGATTTGTGGTAAAGGGTGGGAAAAAACAGAGTGTCAGAAGTAAAAAGGAAAACTGCTGTGCTTTGATAATTTCAACATATCATCATGCATCTGCTAAAGCTGTTGATTAAACTTTGCACTCCTGTGAATCCAACCAGCTTTGTCATCTATTTATTTCTCTGATCTTTCTTGTCATGGCCATTTCTTGCCAGCAGGTCGCGATAAAGTGCTGACAATCGGCTTTTCCGTCCAGCTGTATGCAGGCTCACTGCTTACAGATGTGAGGGGCGGGAGGGAGGGAGACAGATTGCAATGACTGACATGCAGTCAGACCAACAGGAGGCATGCCACCCCCAATGCGGGCAGGACTCTAGAAGAAAACCCTGAGCTCTGAGTGGAGGCAACAGAAAAGACCTTAATCAGGATCACACAACAATAATGAATGGAAACACGTCGGAGCCAAGAAAGTTGAGCAGCACCTAAAAGTAACTGTCGGTCGGGTTTTGAAAGTTATCTGTCATTGGGGAAAATTCGCTGTAAGTAATGGATTGGCCAGGCAAGACAGAGGCTACTTTCTGGAAGATGAAGCAGCTGCACTCTTACTTTTAAAAAAGAGACTAGAGTCAAACACTGTCAACTTAAACGCGTGATTAGGGGTAAATGGCATTTAGGGACTACTGCAGTGTCAGCTTTTTTCTTCTTCTTTTTTCTTCAATAATCTGTTTTTGGAGAGAAGTGGATTATTCGGATTAAATCGCGGATGAGACTCTCGGAATACTTTGGAGATTCTTTCTTTTTGCTTCTTTTACTTGGATTATTCTTGTCGCCGTAAGAAGCTGAGGCAAGTTTCAAGTCGACGGCAGGATAAGGCATTAAAATGGGTAATATAGAGAGTGTGGACGGCCAGTCGGAGATGAAGCAGCACATCATGCCTCTGAAGGTGCCCATGCCTGACCCCACCGAGCTGGAGGAGAAATTTGCCATTGTTTTGGTAAGTTAACGGGCTAATAACCGCACTTTTGCCACGGTGCGGTCGAATAATCGAGTAGTAGCTGTCTGTGTTTTGCTTTTAAACTTGTTGAGCTTTTAAACTTGTCGGTAGTGGGTTTATTTTCCCTTAAAGCACTGGATCACAGTTATAAACAACCCATATAGTGGACTGTCTTGTTCTTTCTATATATGAAAAAAAGTTTATTTCTTGCTCTTTTTTGTTTATTTGTTATTTATTGTTTATTTGTTTATTTATTTGGACTATTATGGACCATTATGAGCTGCTGATGTATTAAATGAACCGTCCCGCCCCTCATTCTCTCCCCACTCCTGCGGTTCTTTTGTCTCTCCAAAAGTCAGACAACTCAGCGTTTGGCTGAAGTGGCACATACTGAGCGCGGCATGGCGAGAGTGGTGGAGGTGGTGGTGTTTGGTAGGGGGAGAGGTAAACGGGATTTCCCCCCCTCTCCTCTACAGGATGGAGGACATTTTCCTGCATATCCTTGACGGAGAACATCACAGCATTCTGCGTTTATTTAGTTTAGCCCCTCTCGCTGCAGGCGACTCATCTAAAAAACAACATTTTCTGAATTCCCCCAAAACTCCCACACCCGAAGTATCCTCCCCTTTCCTACCTCCCTACACCCTCCACATCAGGCCCGAGTTTAGGCGTTTAGACGCTTTGTAATAGCGAGCGCACCGTCGACACCCACCTCCCTGTCGATCAGCGGAGTCGAACAAGGATGACAGGGTGTCATTTATGCGTCAGAGGGGGCATTTCAGCGTTCAGCACATCACAAAGCGGGACTTTACGGCTACTTTCTCTTTCAAGCACGATCGCGTGTCTAGATTCCTTCATTATTCATGCGCTGAAGCGAAGAGGAGATGCTTTAATGAAAATTTGGGTTTTGTTTGGGGGTTTTTTCCACTTAGGTGGGCGGAATGTAATCAGCCAGCAGCTCGACTTTGACTATACAGTTTTAATTTGGGGATTCCACAAAAAGTCTCGTATTGTTCTGATGAAAAAATAAGAAAACATATGTTTCCATCCGTCCATCTTTTTTTTTTAATTCAATTTTCTTTTTATGTAAAGCCTCTTACTCTTAAAAGTTTTCCAAATTGTCAGAGAATCCCCCTTAATCTCTTTAACGGCATTTACTTAACGTTTTAATTCAGTTTAACAAACTCAAAGAGCAGTGGCAACAAGTTGTGGTTTTATCAGGGTTAATGTGCAAAACTTGGTCTGAAACTTTCGTTTCCTGCATGCATCTTGTGAGATTGCTGTTCAACCATGTCAGACTTAAACATTGTCGTGCTTGAGTGGTGACAGCCCTCTCATCTTAACAAGGAAGCCAGTAAACGCGTGCCAGGAAACTTTGAGTTTAGATGGGACAGCCCGGGTGTGCTGGTCGCAAATCATGTCAACATGCAGTCCTTATAGTATGATATAATATTGAGGCCGTGATGAGGGTTCAAATGAAGATTTTACTTCAGTCCACTTTTGTCATAGTAACACAGTAAAAGTCTCGAGCCATCTCTAATTTTTGTATATTTTGCTTCCAAGTAACCTGACGTTGTTACCATTTTTAAAGCTGTCTTGAACAATATTTCTCCAGGTTGGTTCATTGGTTGAATCTATAAAAAATGCCAAACATAACAGTCTCACAGGCATAAAACAGTATTTTTGCATCATTAAGGTGATCCCAAAAGAGCTAAAAGCTGAAAACATTCACCATAATGTGCAACGTGATCTTAGAAAAATTGAGAAAACAGGTGGAAAAGTTGCAGGCCTAAAAACTCTCTGAAACATGTGGAAGTCACGTGTTTGAGTCGTGACCTGAGAGATGCACCTGGGCTTTCAGCTCAGCCAAATTGCACAAGAAGTGGACTGAAAATCAGCTGCAACAGGTCTTTACAGCGGTGTCTACAGCCACTGTTAACACACTGGAGAGTTCTGTCATGGAATAAAAACAAAAAGCAGCCAACAACCAAAGAAGAGCTTTGAAACAACCAGGAAGACGCCTGGATAAATATTCATGAAGACAACTTACCAATATTGACTTTCAAACTCTTTAGAATTGCACAAAATCTTTTGCCTTATATACTGCATTCTCATTTATGTCCGTTTCCTATGTTCCTAGCCATTTATAAAGAAGTAAGGGGTGGCTCAAGACTTCTGCACAGCACTGTATCTGAGACAACATTTGACGGGAACTTTGGTACTGGAACGATCACCAGGACATGTTTCCTTCCTAACTGTTTTAGTCACAGTGTATTACTCACAGGACTTCTTTAAACTGCTTGTTTGAATACTTCTTCCACCTCCGCCTGGCTCCTTGCCTATCATACTGACACATAACAGCATTCAGCTGAAATCTGAGTAATCCAAGATCTAAAATTTAGACTTTTTTCTGTTTCTATTTATTTTCCTTGTCAAACAGTAGCATCCTAATTTCCCATGGGTGCTTATTTTGTGCTCCTCACTCCACATTTTCAACATTACCACACCCAGCTCTGACTTTCAGCTGTCTAAGGCCCTAATTACAGCATCAAGCACCGAAAATGTGAGTGGATCCTCGCAGCATCACTCAGACGGTCTCTTTCTTGGACCTTCCATGTTTCTGGAATGAAGCCATTATTTGCTTGCCAGAGCAATCAGCAGCCACGGAGCGAAGCTCTCGTATGAGGAGACTAACGCAGCAAGAAGCCATTCAGCCCTGATTTTGAATGCTGTGCTATATCTCAGCTATTACGACAATTACACACTGTGCTATGCTACAAGCTCTACTACGACAGCCCACGGCATGTCCCTTTGATGCAGATAACTTCTTTATGAAGTGAGTGGCTGTAAAAAAAAAAAAGAAAAGTCAGAATAAAAAGAACTTCACTCGTCTTTCACATATAAAAACACTTTTTGGGTATTTTTTTTATCAACACATCCTGCCTAGGAAAAGTCTAGCTGTTTGAAAGTACTGCAGCACAAATCGGTCCCTGTTATTATGTTCTGCCGTGCAGAGCAGATGATTTCTATGCATGGAGCAGTAGACTCAACATTTCAGTTGTGTTTTCGAGTGGGAAAAGTTTTCAACCTCTCCAGCCTCCACCTCACTCTGGCCCATAATAGCTCCACATTTCCTTTACTTTGTGGGAAAGTGCAACGTTCTTCTATATATTCAAGTCCTTATCAGACAGTGCTTTTCTCTCGGCCCTGCTAGCTGTTTGTTGTGAGATAGCGCTACATCAAAGGCTCCTGATTTTGCAGTTAGAGCTCTTCTGGAAGGCAACCTCATGGCTTGGCTGTCTGGGGCTGGATCCCAAGGTGCACTTCCCATACTATCATACCGCATGTGCCAAGCATCTGAGACACTTCACATCACTCTTTCTAAGCTGAGCTGATTTCTTTCTTCAGCATTTGTTTGCAGAGACATAACTGGCTTCGCTTCAGCTTCAGCGCTCCATAAATGGATATTTTGAAATGGGTAATTTCTCCTCCTCTGGACCACTGTGTTTTCTATGCTTCATGATGGCATGCTGGTGCAAATGGTTGGGACTGCCCAACTCTCTCTCAGACAGAGCTCACAGACATCCCACTGGAATGACAGCAGCCCATAATGATGTCATGGGCTCAGCAGCCTTTGCGAGCGTAGTAATATGCGTGGGCTAATGACTTTAACAGAATTTCTCTACTGTAGATTGTTGAAGGCGGTGGAGGAGGGGCGAGACCCCTGGGTTGGCCTCGACTAGTTCATGCCGTCTGCTAATAAAATGCCTGGGTCAGGTTTAACCGGCTGCATGTGTTAAAAGCATCTTCTCATTCCATCTCCTCTCTTTTGTCCAGCATCTTCAGAAACAGTTTCAGCCCAGTTTTGTGCGGCTGGAAACAGCTGCCTGGTATTTTCTTCCTGTATTTTACAGGGGAAATTGCATTGTAGCCAGTGGTAGTTGTGGTTGGTTTGCCTTACAATGAGAACTGTGTTCCCTCCATGCTGCTACTGGTGCATAACGTTGCCATTAAGTTAAGCTTGCGATACAGATCTTTGTAGACCCCACAGACAGACAAGTGTAAATACATCAAAGCCATATTTGTAAAATTATATCTTGGTCATTGGTAGAATTCTTTTAATAGTTTTGGCTCCTTTTACCCCCTCTTTGTCCTTGGTAACGCTCACTTATCCTTGGTTTTGTGCAATTCCAGATGGATATGGAGCCTCTCATTCACTCACCCAGTCAGTGTTTCCTACTTTCCCGTTCCCCAAACTCACTCTCGGTGTGGCTTTGCCCTGCACAGTAACTTTCTCCATATGACTCTGTCTTTATAAAAATAATGTGAGATGAGTGAGTGGCATTTCAAAGCCTGGGATCTTTTAAGGTTCCAGGTTTGTGCACCAATCCACTGCTGGATTCCTGTGGCCTGGTCTAGGCTGAGGCCACAGGAGACCTCAAAAGGAGGAAAATTCCCTTTGAACTGGCGGCCTGCCACTGTTCTTGGTTATAATGGCTTTACCAACATCTTTAAACGCCGCACACATCTTTAAGAGCTGTTACAGGAGCAGTGCAGGATTATTTTCACTTCTTGATTGCGCTGGAAACCGCCCTAAACCATTCATCTTGCTCCGCTCAGCTCCCCGTGTCTATTAAATGCTGACATCAAGTTGCGTCATGCGTGGATGTGCTGTTGCAGTTTTTCTTTCGTCTTTTGATTGCTCATGAAAGAGGTTTTGAGATTAAGCAGCAGCAAATGTTGGGAAAACTAAAGAGAAGGTTAGATCTGTGTCATTTGTCAGATGTAGTGAAATGCTGACAATGTAACTCCAGTGCCATGTCTTACATCACTGTTTCTTGATGGGGAAGATCTAAGGGAAGCCGTAGTGTCTGCTGGATTCCACTTAAGAGGAACTAATAGATTCAAGCTGATTGATGTGTTTATCAGACATAAAACCTAAATCATTTTAATGTGTTTGATGATAATTTGAGTTTTTTTATTTGCCTGATATCCCAATT